TACCGGCTTATGGAGCCATATCTTGGGATGTGAAGCATGAAAGAAATTCCCGTGGTTCAGGGTTACCCCTCAAGCCTATTAACGGACTCCCCAAGCTAAAAGTGCTTGCTGTCTGAATGACTTTTAATATAAAATCGAAGAGTCAATGGTGTTCCCTTTTACAATATTCACCCCACAGCCGGTTTAATTATGGTTCACCTTTTCTGGAAAACAAGTGTTGAGGCCATCTAAAAGGAATCAGATTCAGATCGTATTCATTTCTACCAACATATCTAGAAAGTCTTTAAAAAAGGCTTTTATTCTTTCTACTTGAGACACAGAAAACTTTTTAATTTTATTATAAAATATTTCAGGAGTACAAAAAGATACAAAGGATGGCAAACATCTATGTCCCCACTACCCCACTTAAGACGTTTTACCAATAAAGCTGCAATCGCCTGTGTCCCCCTCTCCCCACCTGCCTCTTCAGAAGTAACTATCACCCTGAATTTGGTGTTTATTTTTCCCATGCATTTATTTATACTCTTACTACAGGTGTCTGAATCCTTTATCGATATGTAGTACTGTTTTGTGTTTTTAAACGTCATATAAATGGCATCATGTGGTACATATTCGATAGCTTGCTTCTTCTCCACTCTGCCCTGCTTAAGATTTATTCATGTTGACATAATGGATACAAGTGTATATTACAGTATATATATATCTAGTTCTTTAACTTCCAGTGGTTTAGCATTGTATGAATTGCTTAGCATTGTAATGAATACGTTATTTATTCATTCTCTTGATGGACATCCCTGTTGAAATAGCCAAAAATTGGGGAAAAAAGGATACTAAACATTTTTGAGCACATAAGCTAGTTTCCCTAGACCCATGGCTGTCCACATTTTTTACTACCACCCACAGTAAGAAAATACATTTTACATCTTGACCCTATGCACACATACATATTTTTATGTGTGTCTATCAATATATAACAAACAAAAGTTTCATGTAACAATACTGTATTGTTATTTTCTATGTTATTCTATTTCCTCGGGGGAAAAAAAGGCAGGTTTACAAACACTTAATTGATTTCCTGACTTCCCTATACAGGCTGCAACAATATTTTTTAAAAACACTGCTCAAGGGTATTATACCAAGTAATGAAGTTGCTGGGTCATGGGGTATACAAATATTCAGCTTTACTAGTTAATTCCACTATTTTCCAAAACAGTTACAGCAAACTGTGCTTCCACAGCAGACAAGCGAGTTGCCACTGTTCTGCCTCCTTGCTGGATTTAAATGTACCCCTATCTGATTCTGCTGATCTGAAACGGCACCCTGTAGTATAAGTTTGCGTTTCAATAATCAGTGAGCTTGAGCATCTTTCCCTGTGTTTACTGGCAATTTGTATCTCTTTGGTTCATAAACTACGAGGCAGGAAATCTTATTGACCAAAAAAGTTTCCAAGGTCACTACAGAGCCTGTGCTGGAACACATACTCAGGTCTGGGGTTCTCATTTATGATATATTTAAATCTGTGACCACGTGCCCAAGAGAGAAAGGAACCAATCGAACATTACCTTCTCAGGAAGACTTTCAATTCTTCTCAGGTCAGAGCAAAGTAGGATCAGTAGCAAAAGAATGAAGGAAACAGGGGTGGAGAAAACAGGATTTTGTTTTTCTTGAAACTAACCAAACCAAACCCATTGCCGTCGGGTTGATTCTGACTCATAGTGACCCTATAGGACAGAGTAGAACTGCCCCGTAGGGTTTCCAAGGAGCGCCTGGTGGATTCCAACCGCCGACCTTTTGGTTAGCAACCGTAGCTCTTAACCACTACGCCACCAGGGTTTCCTTCTTAAAACTAAACAGTCCTAATTTGGGCCCTAAAAAAACCTGCTCTTTCAAACCCAGCTATGTAAATCTGCATCAGTTGTTATTCTTCTGTTCTCAGTCTTCCAATCTGCAAAATTAGGATAACAATCTGTACCACTCCTTACTCCATGTGGAAGTTTTGAGATAACTATTCTTTCAAGACTTTGAAAGTAAATACTCTTGTAGAAATTCAAGGTTCTGTGGGTGTGAAGAATCCATTGCCTTCCAAGAAGCTTAAGTGAGGCAATACAACTGCAGTCCTTTGAACAGCTCTGAGCAGCTCTCCTGAGTTCCTGCCTAAAAAGCCTGATGGCTCTGCACAACAGTGAATTATTCCCTAAACTAACACAATCTTGTCTTTCAGTCTCAGAAAAAAAATCTGAGGTCTTCATTTCACAGGTATAGAAACCAAAACCCTTAGCAGTCTCAACAGCCTTTCTGAGGTTTCACAGTAAACTGGGGTGTCCTGTTCCCCGGTCCAGGCTTTTTATCCCTCTCACCCCACTCTCTGGTCTGATCCCCTCATGCTGGAGATGCCAAGATCCATCCTAAAGTCAGGCTTGCCTGCTTTACAATCAATCACCAGGGTAAGGGCTCCACAGTCCACAACACTTCACCTCTCCACTCTCAAGAGGGGGCAATCATGAAAAGGGAACAGACTCAACGCCTCTGAGGTGTCAATTTTCAAAGTACAAAGGAAAAAGTTTGTACCAAATAGCTCTTACATGAAAAAATACAAAGCTAGATCAATATAATTTACAACCAAGGAGGTGTCCCAACCAGCAGTCCAGGATCTGTAAGCAGATCACTCAGTTGTTGCTGCCACACTTCCTTTCCAGGCTTTGACCTTCCTGCTAGCACTTACTCTTATCCTTTACTCACATCCACACCTCCCGCCCCAAAAAGGGATCTCAAGGCTTGACGAAAGAAAGAAAACAGTGAATCTCATCACACACAGGGACCCCCGCTGAAAGCCATCTCCACCTAGAAGGATGCCACCTGCAGGGGAGCACCATGACAGTGCTGACCTGGGCCACCAAACAGTGTCACAATGTCTGTTGAGTGGGTGTTCTTTCTGCATCTCTAGATATTTGTGATCTTTTTTTGAGCTCATTGCTCCTTCCACCACCTACTACTGCCTTCTTTTTTGCTCCAGGCAGCTTCTTCCATCCAAAATTCTACCGCAGCCTGGGAGCTTCTTCAATTCTGTGAATCACTGGTCTCAAACATGGAGTCAAGGAATTAAAGAAAATCATACCTACCAATGACCTAAGAGGATCACTCCTTCACAGATTAGTTAATATGGTTAAAACAAAATCTAGAAGAGATTCGCTTTGTTACAAAAATGGAGTGGAAGATGTGTGTATATGTAAGTATTTGATAACGATTTATTTGTAATTTTGCTCTGTTTGGACTAAAGTTATAAATAGCTGGCACCTACTGTGAAATACAAACCAATAAGGGAAGGCAAGACCAAAAACCAGCCAGGAGTAGAAGGAAGCCAGAATGAGATTAAGATTGGCCATGAAATATTTTACTTACTCATGCCTCGTCTATTATTTAAAAGAAGCATCCATGTACAAAAGAGTTCAAAAGCAAGGCCCTAGGTAAACAATTTTCTTCTAGAGCCAAAGAAAAGAAGCGTTTCTCACAGGCACTAATACATCTAGGTCAGAGACACAAAGTGGTATAAAAGAATCATTTCAAAAAACTGAGAACGTTTCCTAATTGTTAACAGTGTATCAGCAGATCTCTTTCAGTGCAAGTAGAACTGAAGATTCTTGCAGAAAATTAAGAGATACAGGAGACTCTGCTGTTTTAATAAATATAGCTCTCTCTCTCCCTGGTTCCTCATTCTCCTTTACATGAAGATAAATTACAAAAATCATGAGATGTTAATATGGCAGCTACCATCATTTTGATAGACAAATAAAAATCTCAAAACAATCAAATTTGCAGAAAAGTTCTTTCAGCTATTTTTGACACATCTTGCATTTGCTTTAGTGTTGTCTTACCCTCGTGTACTTTCTGGGAAGTGACTGGCAGCTGTGTTATGTTCCCAAGAGCAAGGGTACCAGTACTATGGAATCTCTGCCCCTCTTTGACTCTCCCTGGAGATTCTACCTAACCTGGTCTAGCTGGAGAGGGAGGTAAGGGCTGCAGGAAAGCTAATGCAAAGTTATTTTTATCTAGCCTCAACACACTACAGGTCACTTGCAAAACATCTTGGGAGTAGGGCCTTGGAGGGATACATTTATTGCTTGAAGAAATCAGGCATCTTATAACAATAAGTGTTAAAACATAATCCACTTTCTAATTGGTCTAATAACATGTTTAGAGCTTCTGCTCTACCTCCTAGTTCACTGCAATAGTGCCTGAGGTCTTAAAAACTTGCAACAGCCATCCAAGGCACAACAGTTGGTCTCTACTCATCTGGAGCAACAGGCTGAAGAAGGAAAGTCAGAAATAGGAGGAGGAAATGGAATGTGTGGTTAACTGCCTCCACGAACGACTGCCTCCTTTGCCATGAGACCAGAAGAACTGGATGGTGCCTGGCTACCAATACTGAACATTTTGATCAACGATTCCATAGAAGAAATCCTGATCAAAAGGGAGACAATGCAGAATAGAATTCAAATTCTCATGGACTCCAGACTTTCTGGAGCCATGGAGGCTAGATGAACCCCCCAAAACTATTGCTCTGAGATAATGTTTAAACCTTAAACCAAAAATATCCCCTGAAGTCTTCTTAAAAACCAAACAATAGTTTAGCTTAACTAGTAAAAAATATCATTATGCTCTTTTAAGAACTATCTATGTGGGATCAAAGTGACAAGAGCAACTCGAAAGATTAGATAGGAACCTTAGGGGGCAGTGAGTTTATGTTAATGGAGGAGGAACAATTCAGAAAAGGAGGGTGAGAATGATTGCACAACTTGAAGAACGTAATCAATGTCACTGAATTGTACATGCAGAAACTGTTGAATTGGTATATGTTTCGTTGTGTACATTCTCAACAAAATTTTTTAAAAAACCACAATCCACTTTCACATACGAAAGGTCACTTGGGAAGAGCTCCAGGCACCACCTAATTAGCTGAAGCAGATACAGTGGAGAAAAAACAAACTCCTCAGAAATTATCATTGTTTAAATACACTCTATTTTATTTGTCTTAAAATAGTTTAACCTTTATGCTACAGACTTATTTCAAAAAACAGAAAATCTTATCTTGCACCAAAAAATATATATATAACACTCTGTTTTATTATTTTTTTCTCCAAAGACCATTAAATACTAAATGGAAACACAAACCAAATAATGAATGTAAAGAAGAACCAAATTTTCTTTTCAAAAACTAGAGTTGCACATTTGAAAACATTAATTCTAAGCAATGATTTGTCGTCACTGCATCAAGTTCCACGCTCAAGCTCCAGCAACAGCAGATCTGTTAACCACCAAGTGCACCGGTTCCTAGCCATACAATGGCTAACATTTCATTTTCACGGTAAGAGGAGCAAAAGGCTTCCATGACCTTTGTACTCTTTAAAAAATAAAACAACAACAAAAATACTTCCTAGTTATCCAGTGATTTTTTTTTTTAAGATCACTACCCTTTAAAATTTGTTAAAAGAATAAGAAATACGTAGTGTTTTAAATAAAATGAAAAAATACAACAGCATTGGACTAAAATACGTGATTATTTTAAACAAACAGTGCACAATCTGAGGAAGTTTGGTTACGGCGTAATCATTTTTATATATACATGGAAGTCACATCATACAGATACTGGAAAACAGGGATTAGAGGCTCTAGGCCTTAAAAAAAATTAGAACTAAAAGACAAAATTGTGTCCTCAGCTTTTTCAAAAACCTTGTGAAACAGTATAAAAAGCAGGCAACAAATTCATTTTTAAATTACATACGGTGCTAATCTGCTTAAAGTAACAAACAATTGACTAAATTAGCAAATCAGATGGTTCATATTCACAATTAGTAACAATAAAGGCAGAATTTATGGGATCCTCAATTGCAAAGAATATGGAGTCTATTCAGTCTGACCCCTTCTATCAAAAATGAAAAGACAACTACGGGAGAGCAGCAATTACACGTGCCAGGGCAGTCATGAGGATGCAGTAGCCAGGTTACTGCTCTGTGGTTCAAACTGGAGGAGGGGAGATGTAACCAAATCTGTAGAATAAACCCATCTATAACCCAAGTACACCATTTTAGCAAAGATATTAGTTTGAATAGACAATGTCCTGTGAAAGCATAAACAACCACTTAGCCTACCAAATGCAAAACTTTTGGTTTAAAAAAAAAAAAAAATCCCTTGAAAAGAAATTCCAAATATCACAGGATTGTTTACCACAGAATTTTATCATTAATGCATTTCCAGAAACCACATCCCCATTCTTCGAGATCTAGCAATGAAAGAAGAGTTGAAACCTCATCTCTCCATAGCGAGATAGGTGGAAAAAGAAAGTCCCAACCTAGCAGAGAGCAGACTGTCTCTACTACCCTCACTCCTCCCTTTTTTACACCTTAATCTCTAAATCTCTATTCTACTCATCAAATCAAGCAGTCAGGGCGCTTGACTATGAAGAGGTAAGGGAAAAGTGCAACCTAATGTAAAAGCAAAAAAAGCAAGAGAAGAGTCTGGTTACCACTCCACCCTCTGCTCCCAATCCACAGTGCACACAGCACACCACAGAAGTTCTCTCTTTAGGGAATGACTGTTAGGGGCTAAAGTAAATATGTCATGGGCAATCACCTGCTATATGGAATTGGAGAAAATATACTGTTAACGTAAGAATAAAACGAATAACAACAACAAAAAAAAACCCAAACCCGTTGCCGTCAAGTCAATTCTGACTCACAGCAACTTTATAGGATAGAACAGAACTGCTCCATAGGGTTTCCAAGGAGGGGCTGGTGTAATCAAACTATATTCGAACTGCTGACATTTTGGTTAGCCGCCAAACTCTTAACATAAGAACAGGTAATGCAAAAACAGCTTTTAACCTGACACTGGGGAAAAAATAAACTGTAAAAACTTCAAGTCATATAATCCACCCTTATTCTCCTCCCAATGATTTTCCTGGAAAACACAGACCAGAAATGGTACATTTCTGCTTTGTCTAGCATTTTAATTCAAGTCAAAACACAATGCGTAACAGTAAAATTCAATAAATTAACCCTAAAGTAAAATGTGAAGGTCTAAGGGTACACCAGTAGTGAATTTGCAGAAGGTCCTATTTCGCTCTGGCCTCTGGATCTTTGGTTTCTGTCTAGAATTGTGGCCATGTGAGAGACTGATACATGAGGTGCTAAAACTGGAGGTTCATGATCTTTATAAAAGCCTGATCTATTAAAGGTAGATTGGAAGAAAAATAAAAGTTGATGTAAGAACAGAGGCCCGATCAAATGAGATGCTATCGGAGAAGATCAAAGAACACATGCTCAAATACACTCCAATGGAAGAAGGAGATAAAGAAGAAACAAAGCAGCAGGAAGAAGGGTAAAAGGGAATAAACTTGTCTTTAAAAGAAAAAAGGCCAGGCAGGCGGACCAGGCAGGCTCTGACGCATGCGCATGCAGGGTGTGTCTTATCCATCTCAGTGGCCCCACAGCACCCACCCCACACAGTGCCTTATGCAGATTAGGCACTTGGTATATGTATGTTTGCAGAATGAAAAATTAAAACTGTAATTCTCGTGCTCTTATGAAAAGCAAGAGCCGTCAAGGCATTTGGACAGGGAGACAAAGGGCCATCGTAATATTATATGGTTGAAATGGAAAAACAAAACCAAAGACTGTGACTAACAAAAGGTGAGGTCTTCTAAGCCAATTATTACCTCACTCCCCCTGTGCACAGACATAGTGTTCTAATTCTAGGTATTGCTTTGAAAATAATTCACTAAACTACAACATGTTATAGGAAGAAAGGTAGTGACTAATGCCATAAAACTCCAATGCTGGCATTTCCTGAATTCCTTGAAGCTCCCACTACCCTTTGCTATTCCTTGCAGATACTGTAAAAGCTATAGTGCCATTATGTGCTTTACATCTGATTTCTTAAGTATATATTTATTTTTCCACTTTTAGAAGGTAGAGGAGAAAAATACCCAAATATGGCGTCAGGTCAACGGTGGCTCAGGTGTTAAGCAGTTGTTATACACCCTTTACAGAGAGACCAGCTATGAAAGAAGGCACTTTCCTCTCAGCTTTGCAAGTGCCTGTATGTAGGCTTAGAAGCCATACAACTTTTTATATTTTACCTAAATAACAGGTTTCTATGTTCTCCTGCTATTTAAATAGACCAGGAAAAAAAGTTAGGGAGAGAGATTTCCCCACTGATCTTTTAATACTCTCTTCAGATGCCCAGAAAACCTCATGGTGGGTATCTCTCTGAAATGCCTCTGCCCCAAGGAGATATGTTCCAAAGAGTTATCAATTATTGCAATGAGGAGACAAACTAAGTCACCTTAATAGTATTTATAAACACAAAGGGGCATGTCAATTATTTGTGTTGTGGGACGTCAACCAGGAGCAAAGTCAGGAAAGAAGACAGAAGAGTTAAGCGAAAAGAAAAAGTAATACTTCTGTCTTCTATTTTTAAGTACAGGTTTGTGAATGTACATGCTGTACCAGGTGCCAAAAAGGACCTGACTGGTATGTGTGCAAATGCCCTAAGGTGGGAGTGCCGATGGGGTCTGCTGACAGTGGTCAAGTCTAGACATTAATTTCATTACAAAGAAAAATAAATACAAGATTCAAAAACTGAAGTCCATTTTACCTGGTCATTAAAATATTATTCTGAAAGGAAGGCAGAGTTTCCTAAGACTGAAAGTCATCAAGTAAAATAAAGTTGTCTAATAAAAATTCATCACTTATACTAAAAGAAAGAAGAAAAGAAATTCTTTTCTCTGTCGATAAGTTATTTTCCTAAGTGACTTCTTTTAATTTAAAAAAAAAAAGGGTGGGGGGGGCGCAATTTTCCATGAGTTTCAATTCTACAAATGCCACAAACAGCTTCTGAGGCTGAAGCTATGACAATGAACTTCCGTGCCACAAAAAGGAGGAGGAGGAAGTGGAAGGGAACAGTGCAGAGGAAACACAGTGACATCGTATTACAGTAGGTATTTACGTCTGCTATCCTCATCCAAGGTAAGATCAACAACTTCTGCAGGTGAAGCCCAACTCTGCTGGGGAGTCACAGCAGTCCATGACTGTGTTTGCCGGGTGCTAACATACTGCGTGCCTGAACCATGCTTCCATGAAGAAACACTCTGAATCACACCTCCTCGGGGATGAACACACCTGCAAATGAGAGCAACAGCAAAAGCATGGTTAATGCCACCACAGGAAAAACAGAAGGCGATATGGCTTTAGTTGTACAATCAATACTTTTACTCTGTAAGTTCAGGAAACCCATAATCAATACCCTTCCTCTCCTCCCTTCTTCACTCCTTCTCTCTCTCTAAAAAAGATCAGGTTTAGCCTAATTAAGGGTCAAGGGTCTCAGTCAGAAACTCCTGAATTGTGTCTAGATCGGTCGCTGACTGACCATGGATAAGATGATGTTTCTCTGGACTTCATTAAAATTATGGGATCTTCAGGACAGGGCAACATATAATTTCAGAGCAAAATTAAAATCACCAAACAATCTTAGTCTAAACAACTGAAAACAGTAAGAAATAGGTGAAACTTGTTTTTTAAAATAAGTTCTGTACCCAGTCATCCAAGGTGCAACAGGTGGTCTCTATTAATGTGGAGCAACAAAGGAAGGAGAGTCAGAAATAGGAGGAGGAAATGGATGTGTGGCTAACTGCCTCCATGAATAACTGCCTCCTTTGCCATGAGACCAGAAGAACTGGATGGTACTGGCTACCATTACTGAACATTTTGATCAACAATTCTATAGAAGAATCCTGATCAAAAGGGGGTAATGCAGAACAGAATTTCAAATTCTCATGGACTCCGGACTTTCTGGAACCATGGAGGTTGGATCAACCCCTGAAACAACTGCCCTGAGACAATCTTTAAAACTTAAACCAAAAATACCCATGAAGTCTTCTTAAAACCAAATACTTTGTTTTACCTAGTAAAGAATGTCTGCCTTGGGCACTGTACTCTCTTTTAAGATCTATCTAAATAGAATCAAAGTGACAGCAACAACTAGAGAGATTAGATAGCAAGGAACCTTAGGGGGCAGTGAGTTTATGTTAATGGGAGAGGAATTACTCAGAAAACGAGGGTGAGAATAGCTGCACAACTCAAAGAATGTAATCAACATCACTGAATTGTACATGTAGAAACTGTTGAATTGGTGTATGTTTTTCTGTGTATTATTATCAACAACTAAAATAAAGTATATAAAAAAAAGTTCTGTACCATATTTGGTAAGAATACCTTTGAAAACAATGACAGTAATACCCCCTTACAGATTAGATTTCTAAATGCCTGTAAGTACTAGGTCATGCATAAAGGATCATTTTCCCTACCTGAAGGTCACAATGGAAACACTTGGCTCTTTCATCAGAATTGCTTATTGCTTTGATTCAATGAAAGTAACAAGATTGAAGTACTCAGTCTAAACTTAAGTTTAGAGTCTCTAAAGGGGCCCCATCGGAGGGGCAGAATTGCCTTGTTAACAAGTCTCACCAAGTGCTCCTTGGGAGAAAACTGTTACAGAAACACTGACAGCTTGAATTCCACATTCCAGGCAAATGACAGAACTGTAAGCCTCTGGGATGAAGCACTGAGTAAGTGCTGACACAAATGAAAGGCAGACAGTTCAAGCAATCATTGCTACTTATGCCCTCACATCTAAATTACTGGCCAGTCCTTATTCGGGTTATGTGAGAAGTGGCAAGTGGCATGATTCTAGTCACACAGCTACCACAGGGGGTCCTGAGCAGCCATTCTAACAAACTATAAACAATCAGTGATGTTGGCTCACTTGAGAATTCAAGCTTGGATTTAATGCTACCTGTATCATCAGGTTCAAAACAACATTAGGGTAACAACGGACAAGATTCGGTTGCAAAACTGCCACAAGGAGCCCTACAATCCTAGAAAGAGGCCCTTGCCCCTAAGGAAGACTAGTCTAAAAACTACTCCCTTACTAAGAGAGGTGCTAAAGAACAGAGTCCCTTGTGGACAGAGCAGGAGGCAGACAGAACTCAGGAGTGTTACAATACCAGAGGCCCGCCATCTGTTCAGAAATGGGTTAAGTAGCTACTAACCCAGAGGCGACTACGTTTTCAAAGATTAGGTTAGTGAAAAGCATTAAAATAAGGGACATAAAGTCCAAGCTCTACTCCAAATCTGTCCAACCCACATGTACACTCATACTAAGTGATCATGTAGTCATAGGATAATGTCAGCCAAACGAGTCCATTCAACATTTATATAAGTAGTTTTATGACTGATGGCCAACAGAATAGTAACAGTTTATTAAGCTGGCTCACACATATATCTCATTTGACAATTCCAATAGACCTATGAGGTAGACATGGAAGTTATACATACTCTACAGACAGGAAAACTGAGGCTTAAAGAGGTCACATGGTTTGCCCAGGGTCACATTGCTTGAAAGTGGTAGGCCAAGGGACTTCAACCCAGGTCTGATTCTGGGTTTAATGCTTTCCACCACATCATGTTGTCACTTTACAGATGTGTGTATTAAACTGGATGAGGTAAAACATACTTAAGAATCAGCAGTGTAGAAAGATGTGCCCAGACTAACAATTTAAAAGTTCTTTAACAGTTCAAAAGTTCATCTGTACAGGTACAAATTGAGGGAAAGCTAGCTTAGAAGCTGAGTAAGAATTCAGGAAATAAGTGGCTACAAAGAGAGTCAATATGGTCTTTGGCAGAATTCAACCTCTGAATTAAAGATATTTGGCCTCAATTGTTACTCTGCACTGCACCATAAGCAATCATAGAGTATAATATCAGGAAGTAGCTTTAAAAGGGATATGATCCAATCTGTTCATTTTACAGAAAAGAAAACTGAGGCCAAAAGACAACTGCCCAGGATATTAAACAAGGTAAACATAGAACCAAGGAGAAAATCAAGTCTCCACTGCAGGGCTTATTTTCCACTAAACAACTCTGCCTTCCTCAGACTATACCTAAAGTATTATGCTTGAGTGTGAGGACTGCCTGGCACTGAGGGCATTCAAAAAACAGCAAAGCAAACTCTAGAAAGTGTCCCATGAGGAAAGAAGACTAGGAGGGTGAGAGGTTTAGAGAGTGTGTTTACTACTGAGGAGTGGTTGAAGGAATTGGGAATATTCAGCCTGGAGAGAGAAGAATAAAGAGATGAGGCAATTCTTCAACTATTTAAAAATTGATCACTTCTATACTTATGTTGCAAATGGTTCCATGTACCAGAAACCAACTTGGGCTACTTTAAGTAAAAAAGGGAGTTTATTGGAAGGACACTAAAGAATCTCGAATAATCCAAGGATGATGGAACAAACCAGGCCTCATTCATTTGATTCAGGCCCCAATCCTCTCAGTATTTTTTCTTCAGTATTTTAGAATCTCTGGAAAATATGCTGATCCCACTTTGGGTCAAAAGCTTGCCTGCTCCTATTAACTGTAAGAAGGCAGCTCCCAAAGAAGGAAGAATCACTGTGAGCTGGGCAGCCGCCATGAAAGCACCTGCTCCACCTTGTACAGAGATCTCGAAAACACAGTAAGAACCATGAATCCGTTTCTGGGAGGTCAGTTTTGGATGATTATTACCACACAACAATCAAACAGCCACTACAAAATGGAATAAATCTTCTTTTAAGCATTCAAGCAATTGCTGGGGCATCTGTCAGAAATGGCAGAGAGGGTTCCAAGATGATCTCTAAGGTCGTCTGCAACTTTAAGGTTTCTTCAAAAATAAGCAAAACTATCCCGTTTGAAACAGAGACAGCAGTTACGGGGGACGGGGGGCGGGAGGCGGGGGGCGAGGAGGGGAGGTTGTAACCGGAAGGGGGCATAAGGGGGACTTCTGTTTATAGATCCGAGGGCTGGTTACTTGGGTGTGTACAGTTTGTAAGTATAAACTTACAACTTTTCTGTGTGTTATAAATCAATAAGACATTCAAAAAATGTTTATGACTTAAGGATCTCAACCATCTGGAATAAAATGGTAGCTAGGAAATAAAATGAGGACAGATGAAGGTTTAACACATTGAAAAAAAAAGTACAGAAAAAAAAAGTCCATCTAGGAAACAGAGGGGTACTGGAGAAACAGTTCAGCTATTTTCTAAGATGGTAAACATTACAGAAAAACTTGCACCAAATAAGAAAAAGTTTCAAAGGGAAGTAGGACCACAATAATTGTTATAACTCCCACAAGGATACCCTAAAAAGAAGGATGTGAGAGGCTCAAAATTTTGTGAGGTGGCTAACATAAAAAACAGATTTTCATGCATTATCACATACCCTTTTCTTTATTATAAAACTACTGGCTAGGAGCATACTCAGCTACTTTTTAATTAGTCCAATCAAATTCTGGTACAGATACAGCTTTGTTTTCACAAAGCACTTAATGGGCACATGACTAGAGACAGGTCAAAAACACAAGCTAGAGCCATATTCTGAGTCTTAAAACTAAGAAAGTGCTTAAGACTCACTTCCCAAAACGCTGGAAAAAAATTTATAAACACTACGTTTTGATAATTTCCTGCAAACACTGAAACTGAGAAAGGAAAGACTTCATATTAGAAAAGAAGAAAACACAGAGAAATAGAGCAGGCTCTGATGGTCAGCTTTTGATATAGCTAACTTACTATTCTAGGAAAACAACATTAAAAATTAAACATTTTTGTTCTCATTTACAGAGCCTGAAGGGACCTCTTAGATAACATTCCTAATTATTTTTCCTAACTGAAGATGAAGTGAATGCTTATGGTTTTAGGAAAATCTTCCTTTCCTAGACTTTGTTTACGCATCTGCCTCCCTAAGGTTTTCAAGGTAAATGTTAGCAACTGGTTGGAGGAAGCATTCAGTCTTAAACGCAAAATTCTGCTGAGGGATGAATCAACAATATTAACACCAATGACCATAGGACCAGTAGACCACAGTGAAATGAGATAAAGGTCTGACTGATTATTCACAAAAAGTTTCAGAGAACAGGGACTGAGGAACTGTTCCAACACAGTTCCATAAAGGAAAAATCTGCACTAGAAACCTTCACCTTCCCAGGGCAATTGTCAATGAGGCTGGTAGAAGAAGAGTAAGAAAAAGGACCAAGGTCAAAGAAAAACATTGACATGAGGCTTATAAATGAAAAACTTTTAGCACAACTAAGC